CTGGTGACACCCCTGTGCCACCAGGGACACCCAGACACAGCCCCAGGCCACGCGTCCCTGCTCCTCCAGCACAGAGCGCAGCCCCACTCCTCTCCTTTTTGTCACCTTGCCCCGCTCCAGGTGGGCTGAGCAGCCCAGTTAGACCCTGGCTAAAAGGGACAGTCCAGTCCCATGCACCCATCTGGGACCCACTTTCCAGCTGGTAACACCCAAAACATGATTTATCCGGATGTAACTGATAGGATTCTCGATGGGTGTTAAATTCACTAAAACCAACAGAGTGCCAGTGATTCACATTGATAGAGGACATGGATCATCATTAATAAAATCAGTCACAAACAAACGTATCACTTCCCCTACTTTCATTTCTTAATGCAATGAGAGCATAGAAATAACCCCTGTGAGCACCGGGCAAGCCAGGTGTGGGGAAATGAAGCTGGAGAACAGCCCTGGCAAGAGCAGAAGTTACAGGGAGAAGAAAAAGCACTTCAGGTATCGCATTCCCCAGCTTAACACCCTCCTGCTTCCTAAAGGACATTTCTCTCTGGGTGGTTGTCTTAAAGCAAAGGGATCCCATGCCTCTTCTCACTGACTAAACCACACCTTACTTCAAAGCAAGACATTTTCTGCAATGTTTATCCTGTGTTTTGCTTCCAAATTTCTAAGTCCCCACATTATTCCGGTATTTTCTGATAGCTGCCACATCCCACTCTGGATCATTCATCACGAGGCATTATTTGCTTATTTTCCAGCAGTCCACATCCCATCTTCATCTCCACTGTTGAGATTGCTCCTGTCCCAGGAGCTCTCAATCCCATCCTCTCCTACACAAAGATTTTTGAACCCTCTCTCTCCCTTTCCTGGGCTCCTTCTCCTGGAGTTTTTGGCTGCCAGCTCTCTCCATCCCTTCCTCACAGCCTGAGAGAGAAGAACACAGTGACTCTGCACAGAGCCCTGCTCGCTGTCTGCTCCAGGGCAGGACGTATGGGAAAAACCCTGCTCATCCCCCTGTGCTCTGAAACACAGCACATCCCATATGGTCAGGATCTTCAGAGGGTTTTGCAACTAAATTCTTAACAGCTCCCTGCTGATTGCGTGCAAGTGGCAATTTTTCAAAAGCTGAGAGCTTGGCCAGAGCTTGGAGGTTTTTCTTCCCCCCACTGCTGGAGCAGTAAATGATGTATCTGTGACCAAAACACCAAACCTTCAGCCCTCCAGCCAGAAGACAGACATGCAAGCATTTCTTAATTAAACAGCTGTAAAATAATTTTAGCAAGGGCAGTTACCTCCTTAGTGGGAATTGCTGAACTTTGCCAAAAAAATCAATTTGAGGTAAATAAATGACTTGGAAAATTTCCATCTGATGACTGTCAAAACTGCCAGGAAAAGATAAAAATAAGAAAAGGGGTCTTCGACTAAGGTTGTGATTCCACTAGGTCTGATTGTAAAATGGCATTAATGTAATTTAAAAAAAGATGTTAAGAATTAAATAGGACATTGTAGCACTTGACAGTGTCTGAGAAGGCAAACCTGTGCCTTCATGAGATCTCTGTTTGAAATCCCTTCAATGCAAGGCTTTCACTCTGTTTAATTTTAGTACAGAACCAGTTCAGAACACTTGTTTTACAACATTTTCAACAGAAGACAAATCCTTAGCTCTAAAAATTAATCTCATGCAAATAATAGAATCTCAGGATGCAGGAATTTACAAAGAGATTTATGAGTTCTTTAGTTGCATAAGAATAAAAAGAAGGAATTAGCTAATTGTTGAGAAATACAGATAAAACTGAAAATGCTACATAACAAATATAACAATAAAATTCACATTAAATTATTTATTCAGTAATAAACAGTGACACTTTTCTTTATACAAAGCCTCCCCACAAACCCCCCATCAGTTTTGATGAGAGGGGAAAAAATTCCAATGGATTTTTGAGGGAAACAAGGTGGGAAAACAGGTGGGGGGGGGGAAAGAGGAACCCTGATTTGACTGATGGTTTTAAACAACAGCTCCAAAGAGCCAGCAGGGAAAGTGCAGCACAGTTCTGCAGATCCTTCACCCATTACTGTAAACCTCAAACTCCTACAAACACTGCTTGTCTATAGTACCAAATTCCTGAGCCCCAGCTCACCTGAATCGAGGCTGGACCAGCCCTGGCCACCACAGGACTGAAATTCAGGCATTCAAGGCAGGTCCCAACCATCCCAATGCCACTGGAGGTTTCACTGAGAGGAGGAAACAGCACCCAGGCTTCTGTAGGAAAACAGCCACAGTGCACAGCTGATTTATATTGGAGGCCTGAGCCTCTGAGCAGGTGCATGAAATAACTGGAGTGTTTTAATGAAACCCATACCTAAATTTTCTTTATTGGGAGTTAAAAAAAAGAAAAAAAAAAACCCAAAAATGTGCATTTCCCAGGGAATTCCAGTCCAGATTTCGGAGGTCTCACAGGGTGGCATGGAGACTGCAGAGCAAGAACTGGGAGAGGGTCACAGGCACTGAGCAGACAAAGGGCAGCTAAAACATGGCTAAAAGGGCTAAAACATGGTTTTCCAGGGACATCTACAGTTCCCCTTGGCAACCATTTCACCCCATAAGTATAAACCTGCTAACACAGCCTAAATTTAGTGTACTGAGCAGTGACTGCCCAACCATGTACCTACAGTTCTGGAGAGGATCTTCTCAGCTCCTTTCCAAGACCACTCCCACCTCTCCTGGATTTTGAATTGCTCAAGCAAGACAACCTCAATTTTTAAAGGGGAATCTTCCTGCACCACAACTCTCAGATTGTGCCCATAGGGCTAATATGTAAAAGCAGAATTTATTTTTAAATACTTTCCCACTTTACATGAGATTTTAGTTCCAAGCAACATGCATCAACTTTTTTTAAAAACCCACACGCAAACAATATTTATCATCCAAATACCCTTTAGAAGCTCAGAGGCTGACATACTAAAACCAAGAATTCCACTTGAAAAATATATGTATTTCTAAATTGTTTATAAGGAAATATATATGTTGCTGGTCCATTGATATGGAGCAAAAGCTTGTACCTGAAATTAATTAAAATAATCATATTCAGACATAGGCTTGTCTGCAGAAACAATATATTGCACCTCTCTACATAACTGCTGATTTCATTATCATCTTTTTAGATACAAATCAGGTGATTTGAAAGGGTTTTTATAATGTGTTTTTGTTGGTTTTTTAACAAGTAGGAAAAAAATTCACTCCTGAGTTAACAGAGAATAAGATGCAATAAAATGCCTACATTTTCCATCTCAGATGAGATTTGACAGTCATTCACTTCATTTCCAAAGGACATGCATTTGAGGCACGAGAGTGGAACAAAGGGAACCAGGTATAGCTACAAGTGAATGTGCATAAATATATTTGTAAAGAAATATATCCATGCACATGAAGAATTCTGGGAGAAGGACAGCAAGACATGTAACCTGGAAGCAGATAGGCTAGGTGAGGCAAGGCAATCCTAAGGACAGGCTGGAGGAAATGTGACATTCCCTTCCCCCTGTGTATACTGAGAGATCTGATCTCCAAATGTTTTGATGCAGGTGTGGATGATTGAGACAAAGCTGTCATTCACTGTGGCTGGTGAGGGAAGGAATCAGAACAGAGTCCATTTTACTATTGCCAAGTGCAGCTTATTCAGCTCTCCAGAAATTCCAAAATTCCAATCTCCTGGGCTGCACTATTCCATCTTCTTGTTGGGATGGAAGTGGGCCATTGGAAAAAACTGGCATCTGCCTCTGACAAACTGGTGGACAACTTGAACCCTTCCAGTCTTCAAATGGAGACATAAAAGTTGATGTCAGATTTCTCAACACTAACAGGAATAAAATAAAATCCTGGACAACTTTAAGGAGGTCAGTATTTTGAGTTTCTTGAAATAAAACAATAATTTCCCTATGTTCTCCCAGAAACAGAGACAGAGTACAACATGTTTTATAAGCCCTCTCAAAATGAGTCATCCACTTTCTTGGGACAGCATCAGAACACACCACACATAAAAAGAATGAAACAACTCCTTTGGTAATGCATTAAGACACACAACTTATCTGTGACCTGATTTCAAGGGCCTTTTTTTTTTTTTTCCCTATCTGCAGAAACACGAGCAGGCTCCACCTTTCTGCTCCTTCTGGCTGCCATCGATCCCCCACCATCGCAGGCGAGCGCTCCTCTCCTCTTCCAACAGCAAAACCATGGCAGCATCTGCTTCTCATAAGCACCTCTGTGCGTGTGTGTGAGTGTGCGTGTAGGGGAGAGAGGCAGAGAAGGAAATCTGCTGAATTTAACTCAAAACTTTGTCACAGGGAAGGGTGGGTTTGGTTTTTCCTTTCCTTTTCCATCCCTCGAATTGTAGAAGCAGGGCTACTGCTACACACTTAGGCTTCTCCTTTCTTACTTGTTAGCACAGGGGACAATCAGTGACTGAGGGAAAAGAAGAATTTCTTTCACTTTTGAAGTTGACAGACTGGTGCATGGATGGCTACAGACAACAGCAGGTTTTTATTGGCACTTGTCACCCAGAGTTTGCAGAAGTTCCACCGGCTCAGTCCCAGGTTCAGCAGCAGAAACTCTGCAGAACAGCAGCCCTGGAGGGGAAGAGGCAACAGCTTCCCCTCTTCTTCATCCCCACTAACCAACAACTCAGATACAATCCAGAAAGAAATTCCAGTGCAAACTGTGGGCCTGTTTTGTTCCTGTCCTGTTTTGCCTTGACATCTATAGGGAACCAAGGCCCCATAGTATGAGCTTGTGAAGGGGAAGGCAGTGAGCAGACTGCTCTGGTTAGGCTTTAAACTATTTCAGGAAGTCAAACGCACCTCAAAAAGAAATGCTGTCTTTTCTTTTGCATCCCCTGCCACCCAAAATCTCCATCCCTGAAGTTCAAAGAGGACACACTGTCTTTAATTTCCACTTTTGCCAAGTCCAAGGGGGGAATAAAAAGAGGAAAAAAAAAAAGCTTAAGCCTTTTTTTTAAGATTTTTTTTCCTCCCAGTATTTCTAATACTATCACCATTCTTAAGTCAGAACTCTTTTTCTTGAGATATTCCCTGAACTGTACTGTCCTGATAAGAAAGTGAACTGTGGCAGCTGGTACTCCATTCCCTCCCATACAGTTTTCCCACTGCATTATGAATTTATTGGCAAATTGAGGAGCTAGCTCCACCAGAGCAGCAATAATATAGAGAACTGTCATGAGAGTAAAATTTATTGAGAGAAAGAAATACTGATGGACTACAAAGATGAGGAAAAAAACCCCACCACATGTAATTCATCATCCCAACACAGAGACTACAACCTTATTACTTTGAAGCAATATTTAAGCATAGTCCATTCAGCATTTATACACTGTCTCAAACTTCAAATCAGCAAGGTAGAGACTAAAGGGTCTTGCCAAATTGTGATATAATCCTAATGCCTCCAGTGCCAGCATGTCAAGCCCTCTCCCTTGACAAGGGAGAATGCTCAACACCTCATAGGATCAAGTTCAAACAGCCTGAAGGGAAGCAGCAGTGCAGGCAACCTCAGAGTGGCAGGCACTTCCCAACACCCCCCTCCCCTTTCACACACAGATCCATGTGGTTTCCACCTGACAAAACTACACTTAGAATGCTCAGTGCCTTAAAATTAAACTCTTATCTCAGCCACGTGTTTGTATCTTGTTGGCCAGCGTGTCTCTCAAACAGGGATGTCTGAGAGCAGTGGTGACATGAACATAATGCTTTGTAAGAGCCTTAGGAAATACTACACAGGGACCCTGGTGCACAGAGCAGAAGGGCAACATCTCCAAGGCATAGCCAGGACTCAACAAGCCAGGTGCTGACCCTGGGCTCCCCTCACTCCCTCCTAAGCTGGAGTCCCCAAGGGCTGGGCACAGAGACTGAACCCACAGGGGCGCACGGCGCCCTCACCACCCTCGCTCAGGACTGATGGCACCCAGCCTGGCTCCAAGCAAAGCCTTCATTACCCAGTCAGAGCCAAGGCCCAGGCCAGGGGGGTGCCCAAGCAGGGGGGCTGTGGCTCCACGTGTCCCCAGTGCATGCAGGCTCAGCTGGGGATGAAATGCAGCGCTGCAGTGGGGTCCCGCGAGCCCCACGGCACAGCCCAGCCCAGGCAAACACAGCCTGAAGGCAACAGGAGCTCTCCTTGTGCTCTCCTTGTTGTGACAACCTTTTGTTTCCACAAGCCACACATTTTTATAAACCTGGATTTATTTTTTTTTTTTGTTCATTTTCCCTGAATATTGATGTTGTAAGTGACCACCTTGAAATGGCTTAGCTGAAAGTCCTGCCTGTAAGATTTTAATGATATTTATGAGCCCCATAACCCACAGAGAACTGTGTTCAACAGCTTCAGTGGATCATAGATGAGGCCCATATTCGTGTCTGATTTAAGAGTATTTGGTCCATTTTGAAAGAATGGATGGGTGGGAAATGCAGTTGCTGTAACCTCAAGCTTTGCTCTATGCTAAAGGTGTTTGCAAGATTCTGACAGTCAGCACAGCACAAAGCCACCTTTAGAAGCAAGAAAAACAGAACCACTTTTACTACAATCTAACACCAGGAAAAAAATATTTGGCTGAAACTTCAGGTGAAAATTATACTTGCTTAAGCTAGAACAAAAAGGACAAAAACATCAGAATCTAGTAATGTGGAAACAAAGGAGTTTAGCTCTTTAAAAAGAAAAGAAAGATAGACATTTGAGGTAACAAACAAAAAAAAAACCCAAAATGCACAAACACATCACAGACATCTAAAAATAGCATTTTATACATTTTTGCCAGTGCTTCTCTGAGAGCAAGTTCTTTAAACAGAACTTAACAATTTTACAATTTTTTTTAAAAAAATATGTCATCCTAAAATAGCCCATCGATCCTTACCCAAACTTTCTGTATTTCTACAAAAATAGATGCACAAAGAGCTACAAAATACTGTATTCCTGAAAGAAGGCGCACTGTAGTCAAGGGAGAGTCTTTTTTCCTGACTATTGAGACTGTTCATAAAAATATCAAGCTGAACAAAACGAAACACTGTTAAAGGAGCAGAAAGGAGTTAGGTTGCCCAGCTGCAGCAGGCTCAGATGAGGAAAGAAAGAAAAGTTAGGTTTCTGGTTTTTTTTCCAACTCTGTGGGACCCATAAATGGCCTTACAAATAAAAGGCTCAATAGCAAAACCAGAACAGTTGGCTCTTCATCTTCATGTGTGTCCTTTGCTCCATGCAGAAGGAGTCAACCACTGCTGTATCACCCACCCAGCTCTGCTGACTCCAGCTCTAGCTGGTCTGAATCTCTCTGCACCTCAGAACCAAGCAGTTTCCTTGCTCTTGTCCTGATGCTGTAGACCTACATTTCAGAAAAGAAAAAGAAAATAATTAATATCAATAAAAATAAATTAATAAATCAGATGGTTTCTTCTTCCCCTTCCCCAAGCAACTGAAGAAAAAAAAGTTTTGAATTTAAAAAAAAAATTTAAAAAACCCCCCACCAAATGACAATTTAACAGTTTAAAGGACTTGTTAGCAACAGTGTTACTGCTCCAAGCCTTTTGGTTTATGAGGGGTAAAATTAAACCATATTGAAGTTTGATTCTGGCTCAAGCATTTCAGAAATGGTGATAAAATTCCTGCATGCGCTTCCTTGGCTTCAGCTCATGTGGAACATGGCATGGAGTGAACAAACCCCCATAAAGGTCTGCATCAATTATAAATAGGCAGCAGAGCGGAATTTCCAGGCAGGGTCCAGCCACAGACACCATCTCCTCTAGAAAATGGCTGGGACACTTCAGGATTTCACATTTTCTGTGGTATTTCACCTCGCAGAGGAGAGAGGGAAAATGTTCCTGCAGCAGGCAAAAAATCCCAAATAATTTCACCTACAGAGTGCAAGATTTCCAGCCAAGAATGGCTAGTGCTTCCACATGGGAAAAATTAATGGTTTTCAGCTTGCATTTGTTATGAGTTCCTCTAACATTTTCCTTTGTAAAAAAGTGAGGACTATCTAATAAATGTGGTGCTATGCTGTGGCTCTAGCATTATAGACTTGGAATCTGCTTTATAATCTGGGATTTCTCTGCTCCAGAGAGATCCAATCTCTCTGTTCACACCTAAGAGGGCATAAACCTCAAATGCAGACAATAGAAGGGCAGGTGCAGATTAAATGTCTCAAAGAAGATGCATTCTTGCTCATTTATAGGGAAAGTAAAGGACAGAGATGCAGGCACATATTTTCAGAGGTAGAAAGGCACTCAAGTCTCAATGATTTAAAACTGGTCCTTTGATGTTTTGAGGGGAGTAAATCACATTCTATGAAATGAAGGTACATTTCCCACTACAAGTCATCATTCCTGCTATGCAATGTACCCAGGCACCTGACTTGCTAAGAATTTCAGGTTAATTTCACCACTAATGTAAATAGGTGCTCTGTGATGTTGTAACCACCAGAGCTCCATGTTCATGTGATGTTTAACCACGTGTTAGGCATGGATCTCATTTCCAAAATCCAATCACACACTGAATATGAAGGAAGACCCATAAGTTTTCAGAAAACTTACAGGCAGGCATGGAGGGTTCAGATCTGACAATTATCTCCTTGCTTTAAGATTATAAGCAATTAAATATTTAATGATGATCAACATTTCAGAGCTGAGCTGCACAGCAATTAACACTCACATAAAAGATGAGAGCATATGGCTCTATCCTTGTGAGGATTCCCAAGCAGGGTACAAACACTTGTGTGTCCAGCAGGGAAGAAAAAGGGAAAGCAGAGCCCACAGTTGTGGTGCCCAAACCTTGTTTAGTGCTTTCTGCTCCATTTTGTGTGCACTTGTGCCTGTTTCCTCAGATTGGAAAAACTGGGATATCCTTCAGCTAGAGCACGCCTATAAAAACATGTTCAGAGGCTCTTTATTCAATGAAGATGTCTCCTTGTTGCTTAAGAGCTATTTGTTTCCCTGGCAGCATCATACACAGCCATAATGAACTGCTGCTCCCTTCAAAGCTCCCTCAAAGCTAGTGATGACAATTTGGGACTATTTTTCCCTTGCTACTTACTATTTTTTTAAACAAAGATGACCCCCACCAAAAAAAAGGAAAAACAAACAAAAAAGTTAGACAGCAGAAAACTTTCAGAGCATAAAGAAGCCATTTAAGTTCACCAGTGGACCACTAAAGGACACCAGAGGCCATGGAAGCCTCTAAGAAGAGGAATAGGTTATATGGCTCCCAGCAGCTTAAAAAAAATGACACACACACACACACACACACACACGTGTTTAAGAGATCTTCCAGCTGACAGCAGCAAGTGGTAGAAAGGGAATAACTAGCTGAACAGGCACCTTCCTAGGCAGGTGTCTTTGCAAGGCATAATAACTGTAACAAGGAGATTTAAGGTATACCTACAGACTCTAAACAGCAAGAGAAAAACAATCCAAAAAAACAAAGTTGTCCTATTTACAGAACTGAATGTGGAACACTTTCCATGCCTTCTCCTCACTATATTCCCATCTCCTTCAAGGCAAGGCCATCTGCAGTCCTAACACAGAATCCAAGGCTGGCTGCTCACCCAGAGCTCCCACCTGCAGTGCTTTCCCCTCAGCAAGGAAATCCTCACTTGCACTGCATGACCCAGCACTGCCACTCCAGCAAAATCCCCTTCCCTGGACCACCTACTTTAGAGCTAATTGCTCACAAACATTATGCAGGTTCTGTGGGAACATCTAGGCAAATTTACTGAGTTGTGACAAACTTGTGGGATGTGTGTGAACACTGACAAATGTGCAGAAGGGATTGGATTGGCCCCTCAAACTCCAAATTCAGTGTATCACACTGACAGGCATTTCCAAAGGGGGATTTTCCACAGTAAACCAGGACTAAAGGATGCTGATTAATTCACCTAAATTTGAAGTTATTCACCGCAGTGTGCGTAACTTTCTAGTATGAAGAACACACACCTCAATTTTAATAGATTTACAGCCATCACTCATGCCAAAGTCCTGCTCTGCTTTTAGTGTGCTGGGGCTGCAGGGAGCCTCCTCCAGTACATGTGTCCCACAGCAGGACAGGACATCCTTGGCAAGGCAAGATGCTCTGCTCTCCTCCCGTGGGCTGCCTGCAGCACAGCCAAACCCCACTGCCCACCTGAAGGGCTTGGGATGCAGGACACCTCCCACCTGCTCCCCAGGGAAGCAGTGATGGCCACAACCACCAGCAGCACTGAGAGACAGGAATTCCCCTCCCCAGCCCCTGGTCTGAAGTGCTGGATGTGGCTTTGGCACAAGCAGGAAGCTTTAGTGGTGACACTGCATTACAGCTGCAGCCCTGAGCCACAGGCTGAGCTGGGGACAGCCCAGCCTTGCTTTGCTTCACACCTGCAGGACAAGGAACTGAGGTATAAATCCAAACAATCTCTGCTTATTCCAACATGTTTATATCAATGCTTGACATGAAACGTACTCTTTTATTAAGCACTGTAGCTTGTGCACTTTGGAAAGACACTACACACCAGCAGACACAAATCTAGCAGGTTTTAACAGCTCTTGATGCAGACCAGCACTTTCTTTAATTGCACTTGGACTGACACAGAAGCTTCCCAAAGGGTTAATTTGCAGCCTACAACGTGAGGATTAAGCCACATTTAACGGCAATCAGGTAGCTAAATCCTCCTTCATCCCCTAAAACGGGACCATGTAAGTTCAAACAGATGTGCCAGACAGATCAATAGTTTGTCAGCTCTGTGCTGATGTCCCACACAATGTGTTCTGAGCCATAAATTCCCAAACTACACCGGGCATGCAGTGGGAACCTCCTCTTAACCTCTGGAGTGATTTGGCATCATCCATTCTTGAGAGGGATTATTTGGCTTGGCAGGGCAGAGATGCAACAATGTAGCTGGAAGAGGGTAAGATTACAGCCAGCCTGCCCTGATCCCAACACCATCATTCCACATAATTCAACGTGAGGAATTCTGCAGATGTTCCTACAATCTGTGACAGTAGCACAAGAAATGTGGGCCATGGTAAGAAGAAGGAGAATCAGTTTGTGAGTGAAGGACTCCAAAAGGCAATGTCCAGGTATAGACCAAATGAACTTTTTTAACATAAATCACCTGAAGCTCATAGAATCTGATATATTGACAGCTCCATAGGTTATTTTCTCCAGGGATATATGAGCAAACACTTTCAGAACTGACATATTCTTGCCACTATGTCCTTACCCTCCTCTGGAGAAAGCACTTTATGTCACTAAAAGCCAATTCACTCTTCCAGGCTCTTGAGTTTGCAGCCTCTCTCTTGAGATTGCTCTTTGACATTGGAGTTGAATGTAATGAAATGCTCTGTGATGTGGAGATTTATCCAGTATAATCTGCCTTCCCTGAAGTGCACATGAAGCAAGTGCTGGATGTGACTCCATGTGGCACTCGAGCAACCCCTCCTCTCCCCACACTTTTCCTGGGATGACTCTGCTGGATGTGCACACAAAACCCTGAGGCAATTAAGCTCCCTCTTCTCTCCTTGCCTCGAGTGCCTGTAACCAAAGCACTTGTCTCAACTGCACAAGCTAAAGGCAGGGCTGAAAGGGGAGCTCAGCCTTCCTGCCCTTCCCAGCAAAGGGTGAAAAGCATGGGAAAGATGAGTGTGCAGGGCAAGAGAGCAAGTAATTGCAATGTCACAGGTTTCCACTACCTGCTGTGTACCAATGCTTGCACCCTTGTTTCCAAAACTGGGGCTGCCTAACAGGGTTTTGCTGCTGTGTTTCAGTGTTGTGGCCCTTTTGAACAACTAGTTCAAACTAGTGAGACAATGGTCTGCTGAGATTCTCTGTTTCTTCAAACCAGTCACACATCTCCCCTCTTTCTTTTTCCCCACAGGAACTCAGACTAAAACCCACACAACCAAGCATGGGTCAGAAGTGAACAGTTCAGATCCTTCCCACTGTCTTCCACGCTGAGCAACCAAGTGACATGCAAGGCACTGCCAAATCAGCATCCTGACAAAATCAGCACCCAACTGTACCCCTCCACAGGGATTTTCACTAGGAGCAGGCAGCACCAAGCCAAAGCTGTGTTTGTTCTCTAAGGCAGTGCTAGGACCCAGTCCTTTTTGAGGTATTTGCTCTTAAAAAACAACTCACAGTCTAGGCTGGACTTGTACCTAAGCCAGGCAGAGGCTTCTCCTCACTAACAATTCCTCACACAGTTCTCTGTTCCACCCCCAAAAGGTGAAGCCAAACACCAGGGCCCTGCAGGTGGGGCTGGGTCCAGGAGGGCTTGTCCCTTACACCAGTGACAGTGACACTGCTCATTCTTCAAAGAAAGAAGCTCACTCCCCTTATGGGGTTTGTCACAAAGGAAAAGCTCAAGATCCCAGCCTGGTTAGTTTATCATTCTGTACCCAAAAGCATAAAATATGATTGTTGTTTTGCTTGTTTAGCTAGAAATGTTATTCATATATAAATTGTTAAGAATACTGATAAGCTTTTTCTTAGTTTTATTGACATCAAGACAGCAAGTGGTAGTATTTAGATGAGATTACTGGTTACAAGTTGCTTTAAAGGGAAGAGACAGATTTGAATTAGGTTCATAGTATTTAATTTTTAAGAAACAGCCCTTTTTCCACATCCATTATTTGCTCCCCTGCCCACTCATCAGTCAGGCAAAGAAGTGCTTCTCACACACTGAACTAGTTAGAGAGAGCTATCAAAAATGGAGACAAACAGATACTTTAAGGAAAAGGGAACTAAGATACAAACCTAGTGTTTCTTTAATCAGATAACATACTGTCTTTAAGAAATACTGATCTGCAAGGACTGCTGCTGGTGAGATAAATATCAAATGGAAAAAGGAGCCCTCAGTGGGGGCCATGAGCTCCAGGATGGATGCACTGGGAACTGTCAGTCAGCTGATGGCCAGCAACTTCAAACCCTGAGGGCTGCCAGACTGCTTCAGATGCTGAGGCGAGAGACTGCCACTCAAAGCTCACAGACACAGATGGAGTTCATGCTCTGCACTTCAGACTACAGATTCTGCAGTAAAAAGGATTTAATTCACACACCTCTGCCTACACCCTATAGAAAGATGTTTAGATTGATGGAAAGCTCAGCTCAATCAGCACCTCTGTTCTCCATGTGACAACTGGAAGGAAACACCGAGATGTTCCACCTCAAGATGCAGTCCTCAAGCACTGCAAGTTATTAGTTCATTGGAGCTAAATACTGGTGGATGCGCATATGAACTAACTGAACAAACTGAGAACTTCCTCATGGAAGCATAACTAACATTTTCCAACAATATTTAAACAGAAAGGAACAAAAAAAAATTGTGGATTGTTCCACAACTCATCTAGCTTGAATGGGACCAAGATCTCTCAGCAGAAGGCAGGGAGAGCTGCCCTGACAGCAATTACAGGAGGGATTCCCACATGTGTGGGAATCATTTGGACACGTTTTTGTTTAGTGCTTTCTCCTCCATTTCACATGCACTTGTACCCGTTTCTACAGACTGGAAAAATTGGGATATCCCTCAACTAGAGCACGCCTATAACAACATGTTCAGAGGCTCTTCATTCAATGAAGATGTCTCCTTGTTGAGAGCCAGCCCTGCTTCAGCTGCGGGGAGTTCATGTCTGCTCAAACAAGTCACAGACGATGACAACAACAACAAAAATTACCAAAAAATTAAAAAAAAATACAAAACCCAAGCCATCTTACCTGTATCAAACCCAAAGCTGGGCACGATGTCCACGGTTCCGTGGAAGGCTCCGGCCCAGGCTGAGGTAGCGCCGGTGGCGGCGGGCTCGGCCTTGGCGCCGTCGGGCTGGGCCGCGGGGATCCTGGCGGCGGCGGCGCGCACCGAGGGCACCAGCAGCGAGCCGTAGCGCGGCTCCCGGTGCTGGGGATGATGGTGAGGATGGTGATGGTGGTGGTGGTGGTGCACGTGGGCATGGTGAGGGTGGTGGCGGTGCACGTACACGTCGTGCATGTGTGCGTAAGAGGGGCTCACCTGAGACGCTAAGGGGTAGGGCCAGGCCTCGGCGGCGGCCGGGGCAGGGGCTGGGGCAGTCTGGTGCAGGCCGTGTCCCGGCCAGCTGCCGGGGTCTGCTGCTGCTGCTGCTGCTGGGAAGGTGCCTGGTGCAGTCACGGGGAAATCGGGGTGCACGCCGCTCAAGCAGGGGGGAGGAGGAGGCTGGTAAGAGCTGGTCCAGAAGGAGGTGGGGAATCCGCTCCTTTGGCTTGAAATCGTGGAGCTCTCTGGTGGGGAGAAAAGAAGGGAAGCGTGACTGAAGCTGAACGACACATCGCAGAATAAAAACCCCACAATGAACAACACATCCCAGGATAAAAACCCCACAGTGATTTGCTGCTCTCTGAAGTTTGGCTGAACTCAAGCTTCCTCAGTAAACACAGAATCACTGGACACTTGAGGTAGGAAGGTTTGTCACTCTGATTTTTTAAGATTTTCGTAGTAAATACAGAATCACTGGACACTTGAGGTAGGAAGGTTTGTCACTCCGATTTTTTAAGATTTTCTAATTAAATACAGAATCACTGGACATTTGAGGTAGGAAGGTTTGTCGCTCTGATTTTTTAAGTTTTCCTAAGTAAATACAGAATCACTGGACATTTGAGGTAGGAAGGTTTGTCGCCCCGATTTTTTAAGATTTTCTAAGTAAATACAGAATCACTGGACATTTGAGATAGGAAGATTTGTCGCTCTGATTTTTTTAAGTTTTTCTAAGCCTTCCGATGTTTACATTCTTGTAACGAACTTTCTCACATGCTTCATGTAAATAACTTGTTGTTTTGCATTCTTTTATGGAGGAGGAGAAATTCGATGGACTGTTGGTTTGTCCAGTGTCATTGGAGAGGTGGCACTGTCACCCTCCAATCCACTGTCATTTTTGGAAATCTATAAATGTTGGAGTCAGAAAACAAACTTCCCTTTTCCTTCACCTTGAGAGCAGAGGTGTGTATGCTCGTGTTGTTTCATGTCCTATAGTGACAAAGATTGTCTAGTCCAATTCCCCTGTTCAAGTGAAGCAGTTGTCCAGGACCATGTCGAGTCAGACGTTTTTTTTGCAGCCTTTCAAAAAAAAAAAAAATCCCCAAAAGCAACAACCAGCCTAAAAAATCCAACAAAACAAAAAGTTTTCTTGTATTCAGATGGAATTTCCTGTTTTCTAATCTCGGCCTATTGCCTCCTGTTCTGTCAGCAAGCATTGCTGAAGGGAGCCTGGCTCCCCCCATCTTCATTCCCTCCCATCAGGTTTTCACATACATAAGATTCCCCCCTCAAGAAGATTTTTCTTCTTCAGGCTGTAGAGTCAGAGCCCTCTCAGGATCTTGGTACAGAAATTGTGAGCAGATGCTAACTCCTGCCCAGACTAGAGCACATCATTTGGAAAGGCAGCTGCTGTGGCTGCAAATCTGCAGAGGAAAGAGAACCAGCTCACACTGCAGAACAGGAAATATTTGGCTAAAAGAATACCTGATTTTCTCAAACTAATTGCATGCTTTGATGGGATAAAGGTCATATCTAACACAGCTTATGTTATTCCTTCATAGAATATATCATGATGCCCTCTACTCAATAGGATCCTACAAGCAGAACCATCTATGTAGCTCAAAAAGGTTTTTGTCAGAACTAAAAGACTTGCTGCTTCTTACAGCTAGGGCTCAGACTATATTTAAATGGATTCCAATACCTCTACATTATGAAATCACATTCTAAAAATTCCTCTTTTGAAGGAGCAGTTAGTGTTTTTGATGTGCAGCAAAGTCTTGGCTTCTCCATTCTCACAATCCTCTTGCCAGCTCATGCCAGAAAGTACTGCTTCATGCAATATTTCTCAGCTCTAATAGGACTTTTTTTTTGGTCAAAGATGGAAACATAAAAATACAGAACTTCACCTCTGATGAAAGAAGAGTCATAAAACAGCCTATGGAGAAATAAAGCCAGGGCAGTTTAGTATTTGATGAGGCGAGGAATCCTCTGTTCCTCATAACTTTTACAAAAGTACTATTTTTTTTTTAAATCATCTTTTGTTTTGCTTTGTTTAATAAGCAACTGGAATGACACTTGGGTGAAGACATGATTGAGAATGAACAGATTCTTCAAACACTTCTGCCTCTGAACTTTGCTTATACAAAAATATTTTGCAAGCAAAAAACTTGAAAGTGTTTTCTGACTGCATCACTAGGACACTCGTGTCTCTGTTTTAAAATCCATTCAAATCATAGAAATTTTTCCACACATCAGTTGGCTTTGATTTAGGCAGTTTTTTGAGTCTGATTAACTTCCGATATTGGAAACAAACTCTGCAAACATACCACGGACAAACGTTGTGGATGCTTCGTGCCAAAATGCTTCAGAGGCTGCAAACTTATCTGGCAAGCTGCACTCCATGGGTTTCTTCAAAAGGCTGGGCTGCTTTTAGCAATGTATTTTTATTGCAATTCATGCTTGAAGACTACAGAGAGCTTCAAGCATATTACAGAAGCCTCAGCACTCCTCCAAAATTGGTATTGTTCCTTGTTTGTAAACCATTCCTTGTAAAAAGGGATTACACTGAGATGGAGAGTATGTATGGATTGTGCTGTTGGCAGCAGGGCTGATTAAAAAAAAAAAGCAAACTTCATGTCCAGTCTGTTGTTTTCCACACTACTTAACAGAAGAGCATAGCCTGTCAATGCTCTGCCAGTATTCTGGAAAATTAACCTCTGTAATCGAGTTTTTGAAAACTATCAGGCTGTTATCGGCATGGAAAAGCCCTAAATCCAAAGCCCTGCACTTCAAAAAAGCACAGAAAACCACAAAGTATCTGCAGGACAGCTTTAGTAACAGGAGAGAGCCCTTTAAACCACAGAATCTGCCAACGTGAATTCATCCCAGATTGCATAACAGCTTGGCTTCACCAGTCAAGCAGGAGGTCCAGGCCACAGCAAACAGGTTTGGTCACCTCCATTTTTCAAACCTGTGCATGTTTCACAAAGCCATCACTGCTGCCTGACACTGCCAGGGGCCAGCACCCCCTGGCACCACGGAGTGTGGCCATTCTCACCGGGAAAGGTCAGTCCTGCCACTGGACACAAAGCCTCAGCCCATGTCACATAAAGGCTCAGCCCATGTCACACAAACATGCAGGAAAATTCCACCCGCCCCGAGTGCCCAGGGATACCTGGCCTCTATGGAACATGGAGAAACAGCCATGTCCACACTGCTCTTGAGAAAGAAAAAAACAAAAATTCAAAAAAAAAATTCAATTCATTCTCTGTGCTTCCATGGCCTTTCAGGAAGCATTTAACAAAAACTGCCAAGAAGGATACTACAGTCACCACAATTTCCTACCCCAAAAACAGGGAAGCAGGGACAAGGCAGCATCCCAGGGACCACAAAGCTGTGGCTGATGCAAATGTTCACGGTGGCCAACCCAAATGTTCACAGCACACACTGAAAACACACCAGAAGTGCACACACTGGAAAGGAGACGACACATGGAGCTTTCTGTAGCACAACATCAGCTCTCACTTAAGGCAAGAGGAAAGAAAGTAAGATAGAAAAACAACCCAACACTTTCAGCAAGGAAAAACATGTTGATAAAAATACCATTAAAGTAATATTAGTGTCAAGGTATCATTAGCACCAGCACAAGAATTCAGGCAGCTACACCTAAAATTCAATATTCACATTACTCAAGCCTGTCATATAGAACTGTATTTTATAAAAAATCAGTTTTCAAAATAATTTTAGCCCAACCTGATCAATATGCAAATGATAAAAAATTGCTCTTTTCAGAACAACAGGTTCTGTTTTTATATATAAGCAAAATCCCTCCTCAAAACAAGCAAAAACCCCCCTGCAATATCACCTTAATGATAAAATCAGTTTGCATTTTTTATCAGAACACCTTAAAAATAAATAAGAAAACAAAAAAATATGAAAAAAAGTCAAAAACATTGCTAATCCCTCCTTTCTTATAGATAAAGGAGAAAATGCAGCGAGCTGGGGAGCCAGTTCATGCTCACACACTTTCCACTGAAACCTGCATCTCCCAAAACAGCTATTGCAAAATGAAATACTTTCTAGCTTATCTCTGAGTAAGAAATTGACAGCAATTCTGACTACCCATGAAGGTTATTTATGTAAGAACCTCAAGCTAATGGTAATTTAACTTCTGTAGGTAATGGGACACAAGCTCACATTCATGTGCTGGAACTGAGCATCTCTGATATTGTGCATAAACCAGAAGACCAAGCTGACAGTGTTGGTCTTTCCACCTTGCTTTCAAGCAGGAATATTTCAGAAACCCATTTGGGGCTGACAAAAGCTCCTGTCAGCTTCTCTCCTCTGGAGCAGCAAATGCTGTCAGCTCCCAGCAGCCTCCCCAGGGGCCTCCATGCCCCTCCAGCAGGTGCAGGGATGGCACAGGGCTATCTCCTTACTCTATTCCCAGAAGATGTTCAGGACATGCTGACCTCCATTCCCCACTGAGGGCATGGGGCACACGGGGTCAGGGGGCAGCATGGCTGGAGAATCCTCACACCAGGCCACTCAGAGCCCTCTGGGGATGGCTGTGAAACCACAGAGGGGGACAGGGAAAAACAACAGGGTATGTCTGAGGCCAAAGGGAAGACACGCGACCGCACCCACGGAACATCCCCAGGCTCGCTGAAGAGGGCTTGCTGTGGGCATGGGGTCTCTGGGGACTGCCTTGATCCTGTTGCTAAAACATTTATAGCCTGTCTGGGCCATTTATAAACGCTCCAGTCTCCTTTTTAGTAAGCATAGGTTCAATCCTGCTCTCAGTCGAGTCAACGGAAAATTTCCCATTAACGTTAATGGTCCCAGCTCAAGCCATAAATTCCTCCAGCTCCCCAGCCACTTGTGCTGACCTTTGCTTAAACTTCCTCGGATTTGTCATCATCCTTCTGGAAAGCAAGTTCTTCTGTGCTATTTTTCTCTTCACAGTTGTTTCCAGATATCCCATCTCTCTTAAATATCTGTGGCTATCATCAGTGCAGTCTCACCTCCACATCACTGATTGGGAACACCACTGCTCCTGCTCAGATCCCACCAGTACCTCTCTCATCAACCCACTGTAAGGCCATTGCTCACCATTACTCATTTGCTTAGGCTGCACCCCTCTGCCAGTCCACATAAGGATGTGATCAGAAACAATGCAGCTGTGGGGATTTTAAAAAACACCCAGACTGGCACATCCAACAAAATGGAAACATCATCTTATTGCCACGCTTTTTCCAATTTGGAAGTCTTGTCTCTAAGGGCTACCTAGTTGTCTCTGGCAAGTTCTGCTTCTTGTCACACCAATATATATAAAGTATTTAAGCGTTTACGTGCATAACAAGAGGACAGCGTTGTTACTCACTGTGTTAGGACAGCGAGTAAATGCCTTGCAGAACCTACCACATTTCTGCTCCCTGCGTGGAGGCAGAGTAATGTCATGGCCATTTTACACCCAGCAAGGCATAACATCATCTGTACCTCTCCCACAAGCAAGCTGCAAAGGAAAACACCCCGTGGCTGCAGCCACAGGAGCCAGGGCTTGCCCCCAGCCCATTCCATCCCGCGCTGGCTCCTCCCCGCCTGGAAAGCTGCCGTGGGCAAATCCTGATCACCTGGCAAAGCCACTCAAGAAGGCTGCATAGGTTTCCTTCACATCCAAGGCCAGCACCCCAAACAGCTTTGCTCTTGCCTCACAGGCCAAGTTTCACACTTGGAGCTAAAAAAAAAAAAGCCTCCAACCTCGCAGCAGACGTTTGTGAAGACCTCTCCCTCCCAGCCCCTGGCAGAGACAGGATATGGCAGGAGCTGGAGATGCCTGCTCCTTTCATGCCTTTGGCTGCTCTCTCCCCTTTAACACCTCAGATCACTCAACCCAAGAAGCTCCTCAGCTCTTGTATATTTGAGGGGGATTCTTCCACTTCCACAGAGCAGCAGAATTTCAGCTGCAATGCAATGTGTGTTACTGCAATGTAGCCCGAGTAAGCCACGCCACAGAGAGCGAGTTCCTGCCCCTCTTACCTCTCCACAGAGGATTCAGCCCTGCCTTGCTCTTGGAAAGGGCAGTCTCTGAATTGAAGCTACTGGCTTGGCTCAAAGCTCGGGAGAAGTGTTCATCCACCACTGCACCAATGTCCCCCTGGAAGTAAGTGAACAGCACACAGCGAGAGTTCAGGTACTCCATCTCGGCAGGCTGGTCCTTCTCATCCTCCTCTTGCTTGCTGGGAAGGCTCACTTCCAGAGACTCCTGCATCTTGTTGTACACAGCTAACTTCTTCTGGGATTAGAAACAAGACAAACAAGAGATGCATCAGTGATGGCATTCAGCAGAAGCTCAACTTATAGTTTCCTTAACAAAAAATAACTGAATACACAGATTACTCATTTTGTAAATAAATTTGGACTACCTGGATACTTCACACTCCCATTTCACAAAGAAGAGAATACCAGCACCCACTTAAAAGTCTCTATTCCTCTCTCACACAGATGGACCTGCTTCTCAGGCATGTTTCACAGCCACAATTTATCAGCACCAGCTTTCACTCAATACTTTCAAAAGAAAGCAGACAGGCTCTAACAACTCCCTCCTGATTCCCACCTGGGGAGATATTCCATCAATAAAGGCTGCAGAGGTCAAGCCCAGCCCTGCAGAAGAGTGGCCAGATACACAGCATGTGCATTTCAACATCCAGCTGGGCAAGCACCAGGTTTCTCTGGGCACACTCCTCTAGCTGAGCCCTCTGGGTTCCCCACACTTACTGCTGAAGCTGTAAAGGTGGGAGAGTTTCCTGCTTCCTGAGAAATTTTCTACTGTATTACCAAAATCCACAAAATGCATAAATTTTCACTCACTGACGACAGAATTTTTATCACAGGAAGTTATAGCTTGGGGTGGTGACTGGGGGCTGGTCAGGGGTTTGAGAGCTTGGTTTCTTGGTTGGTATGGGGTGGTTTGTTGTTGTTGTGAGGTTGGGGTGGAAAGGGTTTCTTTCCTTTTTTCTTTTTTTTTTTTTTTTTTTTAACACCCGCTTTTGGGAAAAGAGAAAAAAAAATTCAAGTCATAAAAAATTAAAAATGTGATCTGGGGGAAGAGGGGGATTGACAAGTCCGCAAACACATGCAGAAAAATCCACCCCAAACCAAAAACACGGAGAAGCACGTAAAAAACTAAAACCCTCACAAGCCATCTGTGAATGGCTATTTCAGAATATTCTCCCTCTCTCTCTCAAATCAAACCTAAATGTCAAAATAAATGTGTGTGAAGATCCATTTTGCATGGAACATATTTTTCAGATGTTCCACTTTACAACTGTTTTCACAGGGAAAAAACCTCTCCCCGCAACAGTCAAGCTGCAGGAATCATAGCTTTTAGCTAGCCAGCCATTTCCACAGCTGACTTTACACACAAGCACTTTCAGGAACCCAAAAACAACTACAGTCCATATGCAGAAGTATTTCATAGCATTCCTATAGAATTACAGTTTGACTTATCTTTAATGGCTTGCTTGGCAACACTCTAGCGCCATCAGAATCTCTTTAAGTTTATGGCTTTTTTACCCTTTTTCTGAAATAGTTGTATAGAAAAAGTCAAACAACTACACACTCTATAAAGTTTCATTTTTACAATAAATGTGCTTGTACGATTTAGAAATAATCGAAAGTAATTTTCTGACTTTGTGTACCATCAGTACATTTAAATTCAGTGCTTTCTAAAATCATATAATCTGACACAAATTCTCTCACTGCAGTGCAAAATAAATGCTCTGGGGCAAAGTCTTAATTATGAATGGTTATTTTAAAAAATAACTGTAGGAAAGAGCTATTGACAAGGGGAATTAAAACCTACTATACTTAAAGCTCACGGCAACTTAAGCAACGTATCTGACATTCCAATGGGTTAACTGATAAATGTGAAGCAGCTCAGTGACACCATGAATTCAGATGCTGTTGCACAAACTGCAGTGAGGGACACATGCAATTTTATTTCAGCTGGGGATAACCATGCAATGGCCTGGATTTCCAGTAAACCTGTGCTTCACAAAGCAAAGTCATACTGTGGCTCAGTTTAGCACATTAGACTATTGGGAGAACCGCTGGGATTCACTTATAAAAGTAAATAAAATAAAATACAGAAACAGCAAAATAAAGCAGTCTCTAGTAAAACTAAAACTGCTAAAATGAAACAGTCTGAGGCTGTAAACATATTTTTGAAAAAGCAGAATTTGGGGTAACCTATGCTTTTTCTAGAAGTGCTTCGTGCCTTCTGTAAACAAACAAACATCTCAGGAAAGTTCTCCTAATATTTGTTTCCCAAATGCTTACTAGGATATCACTCAAATTGAGCTTCATGGTTTTGTCTGAGTAATCACAGACCCCTGAGACCTCAGTAAGACAAAAACAGTTCTAGCAACACTGCACATACAGGAGACACGTGCACTGGAACTCTGCAACGCATCCACCTCGGTGACTTGGCCATTCCTGAAGCTGCACCACAACTCAGATCCTCTTAAAACTGCAGGACAAGTGGCTGGGAAAGGTGCTTTTCTCATTTTTAGTTTGCTTGGGCTTTTTTTTCTAGGTAGAGACAAATTATGGAAGACATCCTCTAGAGAAATCTCGACAGGCCAGACCCCGAAGAGAGGCAGCAGAGGTTCAGAGCTGACTCCCATCCCTACAGGTGCTGGCACTGATGCTGCAGTCATGCAGATGCAGACACAAGCACGCAATTACAGACAGACACACACCGCTAACACAGCCCCTGGCTTGACTTGGTGATCAGGAAGGAAGTCTTCCAATGTTCCTATACAGGGACTGGAGCTCAGGAAATTAAAACTTATCTCCAGAGTGGCTTCTCTGCGCAGGAATGCTCCCCCTTCCACAGCTTAAGAATCTAATTCGTTTTCCATTTCAACTCTCTTCCCTCCCCTCCAGTCCACGGACAGTCATTACAAGATGCTCTGAGCACTTGCTTCTTTCAAAAACTCCAAACCTAACCTTTTTTTTAATGTAGAAAAAAAAGAAAATTCTAATGCAAAAAAAAAAAAGTCAGTCTGATGGAGAAGAACAAGGCCTTACGTGAGGATTATGTACAGTGCAAAGTTGTGGTTTGCAGCAAAGGATGAGAGTTCTAAATAAAAAGATTTTTCAAAACAGCAAGTCCATGATCAGACACAGATGTAATTAATTTGCATTTCAGGAAGAAATTATGAGCCTGTAATTGCAAAACTCTTTAAGTGAGACACTACAGTGAGAGAAAGTTATTCAACAAGTTTTCCTTGTATGCAATGTAAATACATTCTTTACACTATATACACCCTTTGACAATATGAGAGTTTTTTCCCCCCAACTCACCTAAAATACCCTGTTTGCACATAAATTCCCTAATTTTTGTTCTGACCTTAACAGTAACCTTCTCACACTATTTTTGACTGCAGTTGTGTGAGTGGAAAACTATGCAAGTCCATCAGCTGTGAAACGAATTTGTCCCACAATCATGGGGTGTGAGGGAACAAAAACAAAAAAACCCACAAACACCGGGGTAGGTTTGTGGTCACTAACCTCAGCTAGCCCAGTTTAACTTGTACTTTTTCATTTGAACAGTTCAAGCATATATTTTAGCAGCCAATTCCATATGTAAGTTGTTTACAAAGTGTTTCTGACCAAACACAGTGTTATCTCTGGTCAAGGTTCATTGCTTTAATATATTAATGAAATACACCTCTCCCTTCCTTACACTAGAGACTGATATTAAACAGTCTCTGAAAAACAAAACAAGCACCCAAAATCTTCTCTTGGCGAAGACACAGGATACAGAATTTAAATTCAGAATATATAATTTAAGTGGAAAACAGGGAAATCCAGTGTCTATACACCTTAGATAACAGACCCCAGTTCATGGCTGAAACACCACGATCTCTGGATAAATTGAGCTGTTCAGCCCAGGCTGAATTCAGCTTCAACCAACATTATTTTTATTTCATATATTCACAAACAAGCAATTCCAAAGAAAATTTAAACCTTTCACTTCAAATTGTACAACAAAAGGAAATTGAAGGCCAACACCATATCACTGCTGATATGGGACTATTAAAAAGGAAGTTTATTCTAAACAATCATAATCCTGTCTTTCTGAGCAAGAAAAGAAGAAAAAATTAGAAAACAAGAAAACATTTTGTCCAAAATCTCACACAAAATCCTTGCCTTGAAGACTCCTGTTATTTTCTGACATACCCTACCCAGAACCAAGCAAAACTATTCTCATGCAGCGAAATGTTGGCCACATTAAAGCCTGTGGCAAAAGTCCAAGTGACTTCAAGGGTCCCGGGTCTCACCCAGAGTGTCTGGTAAAAATGTCAGAACATTCCTCTTTGCAAATCCAAAAAAATTCACTTCCAGCACAAACCAGTTAAGTAGCCAGCAAAACAACAACAACAACATAAAAACAACCATACTTTGAGAGCAGAGAAGGTTTTACTTCAGCCAAGTTTAATCAAAAATTCAGGCCAGCTCTTACATTTCACATGAACTGGTTGCCTTTTCCTACAATTTATTATCTCCATACATGCCACCATACAGCATATGGTCCTTTATGCTCCCAAGCATGAAAGTCTGGTGTGCCTGTGGCCACCTGTTACAGATTTTCCATTATGAGAAAAAGAACAGGAACCAAAAATAAAGAATAACTTCGCCGAGGAAACACTATATGACCCTACCCTGAGAAAAAGGCTGTCACTTGACATAAGCTTCTGAGAAGGAATTCCAGCAACAAACTCGAGGCAAATCCTCAGACAGCCCTCCATTTGTGGAGCTGTCTGCCAAGCAGGCTCCTCCTGATAACACAGAAAGTATTCAAGGAAGGAGACAATTCCAAGCAATCAGGGCACTGAATGCTGGGCCTGAAAGATGTGCATGTGGCACTGCCCTAAAAACATGAAACAATAACTTCTACCCACACAAATGAGCAAGGTAAGAGCTTGTTTTCAGCTGAGCCACTGGATTTGTAGAGGTAGAGAGCCTGGAGGTCTTGCTGTGCTCTGCTGATGGAGGAAGGTGATGAAAAAATAATGAATTTATACACCTTTTGCTGTACATGTAAACAGAGATGTACCCTAAATCTAATTTTATGTAGCTAGAAAAAGATCAAGTAGAATTTGGCCCCAGTCAGAATGACAGAGTAAAGCAAGTCAAACTCTTTAAATCAGTGATGTCTCCTGGGATTGAAGCAAACAAAACCAACCAACAAAACCTCACACACAGGGCAGGACCTAACCCAGGTCTGACACCCCGTGAATGTGAGAGGAGATGAGTTCTATAGGTTATACAGCTTCCAGAGAAGTCAGTAGAGCAAACAGCAAAGGAACAGCCCTGAGAAAGAATGTGAACTGCAAAAACTGGATGTGAAGCCATGCTCTGCTGTTACCTGCCATTAGACACTGCAGACTGCCACGCAGCATAAGCAGTATAACAAGCCCATCCTCAAAAGCTGGGGACACATGGTGCAAAGAATTTCACTGAAAAAACAAGTTACAGTATGTGAATTGGGGTTTAGCCACAGCCAGCTGACACAGCATCAAATGTGACCTGTCCTTGTCTGCAACTCTGTCAGTTTGGAAGGAAGAGCCCAGTTAGTGACCTAAATTGCTAATGAAGACAAGGCCTTATCTGGACAAAGCCTGTCTACAGCACTGCCAGCAGAAAGTCTGACTTGAGCATATCACAACTCCTTATGCAAGACTGGATTTAGCAAGGACAGCTTTGGCTTAGATGTTGGCTTGCCTCTACATACCATGGAGAAATTCCAAAACTACCATTTACTGTAAGTTCCCCTTCCAAAGGTGGTGTGTTAGTGAGCCTGGCTGAGTCCTACCTGAGCCTCAGCCCTGCAGCCGGCTGCGCCCAGCCTGTTGTGACAGGACAGGCCATCCCTGTGTGCCGGGAACACGATGGGATTCTGCTCCAATTACGTGTTCCCGCAGCCTCTCCGAATCCCGTTACACCCATCCCTCACCCAGCCCACAGGAAAGCCAAAGCTCACTGTTCCAGCTGCACAGCCCCTCAGCAGCGTGGACAGCAAAGAGCATTTTAATGGTGCCACTCTGCAGGGTTTCACCCTGATGCCTGCACACTCCCCACCAGACACAGAAACACGTTCCTGTCCTAACACTGGCACACGCTCGCTCCGTCTTTTGGCAAAGGAGCACGGAAATCCCCATTTATCTGTAAAATCAGGGCCACACCCCATTTCCATCAGTTCATTCTGGCACCATATGAGCACGTGTATATCCGTGTTTCGCTTACTTCCCTCCAGCAAGCACCCTGGACTTGAGCAATCTCAAAGATCTAAGGTGCTAAGCCTCCGCTCCCATTAACATTCAAGAGGAATTCAGGCTTCAGTCCACTAAGAGCTTTAAAAAAGAAAAAAAAAAAATCCCATCTAAATCAATTTGCCAGTAAGTCCTTTCCTGGCTAAGGATGGGTGAAAGCTACATTTCCAGAAATTCTGCCTTTCTGTGCAAGGCAAAAATCAATCCCGTGCTGATTTTAAGGGCGGAAAAAACATAGACACAGAAATGTGGGAATAACTTTAGCGTGGGGAAACTTTAAAAAGGCACGATGGACCACCCCCTAAAGCTCCGACACTTCTGCACAACCCAGGTGCACCATTTAAAAGCAGTCTGAGATTTCCCATTAAAAATAAAAAATAAAAAAGGAGACAAGCATTAGAACCCGCTTTGTCCTGCTGCAGGCACTGCTGCTGACCCAAAGAAACACGATGGGTTTGGCTCTCCAGAGAGATCCCAGAGCCCAGACACTTGAGCTCCACAGCTGTTTGCTCTTTAAAGCACACAAAACTGATGTCCAAGGCACAACCAATTACACATTTGAGAGGGCTTTACTACAAATACCTGCAGTGGAGATGCACAGGCTTTAGTCAGAGTGACACACATACATCTCCTTGCCCCGAGAAGAAAAGGAAAGCCAACAGCAGCAGAGCATGGAAGAGCCTTCTCTCTCAGAAAACAAACTGAAAGACACCAGAGTAGTACAATACCACTGAAAAATGCCTTGGTGGAGTCCTCGGATATTTTAAGGGTGAGCTCCATTTTATCATCTCCAATGCAGAGACTTATTTTTAAGGTATCCCACTAATTCATCTTCCCTCACTGTTATTTTTAAACCACAGTTCTAATTCCAGCAAAGAGGAACATTCTTTACAACGGTCATCATCCTCACAAAGAGTGCAGGAGCGTTCTACATGTTGAACACATGTGTAAGAACCAAAAACCTGGCAACAGATTCTTCATCTTTTTTTGTTACGTTCTCTACCAGTTGATTAAGCATCTCTGACAGGACAATTCTGAAGGAACAGAGACTTGCAAAATGTCACTTGTTCACCAAACAATAAATCTTGATGCTTGAAGAGCTCATTTTGTGTTTACTTTTTTTTATTTAATTTAGAAAACATTGGATTCAGAGAAAATACACAAACCACTCTAAAGTTAGCAGCTGTTAGAAGTAGAGGGTGCAACACTTCCTTCAGCAACAACAGCTTGGCTTTTCAGTCTGGCATCCAAGCAGCTTGTGAAGACCCTTCAGCTCCAAGTGTGTCAGGAAAACCAGTGCAACCAGGATTCATCAAATTAAATTGTCAATAACATCTCGGATAGCCATGTTTAGAAAGCTTTTAGATGGAAATATGATATATGGCCAGCTCAGGACCTGCACTGGCTTATCAGAGCTATCTACATTTCTTGCCTTGCTTATCTACCTCTACTTACACAGCATAACCCCCAAGAACTCAGCTTGTTTAAAATAAAATTTCAAGAAACTTCAGTGATCATTAGGGTGCGCCTAGAACATTTTATACATGGCTCTGCTTTTGGAGGAAGAAATTTCATGCCTCTGCTTAAAAATCAAAAGCGCAGCACTTGAACGTGACATGGTCATTTAATAGATTTCCCCATACTAAGTGTTCTACAGTTCTGGAAGAGAAATACAGACATCCACTTCCAGAGTTAAATGTCAGGAAGTTCAGCAGAGTTTCAATTGCCGTTTTCTACTTCTAGGTCTCTCAGTCAGAGAATCAGGCTATTTGTTTTTATCTATTCATTTTCCCTCCAAAGCACACAGGCTGTGAACCGGACCTCCAGATATCCAAATACAAACTTCCTAAGTAAAATCACTGCACAGATGGAAGATTTGCAAGCTCTGACCAAGATGAGAGAAGAAATAATAGCAAAGGCACTCTGCAAGAGGCAGAACTCACAAGTTTTCCAGAGCTCGAGCTTAGAGTGAACATGAGCAACCTGGACAAGTTCACTGGGGCATCATTTTTGCAAACGGGCTCCGTCTCCCAACAAAAAAGAAAAAAAACCAGCAACAGACGATCGGAATTTTAATGTTTTAGCCCATACTCGTGTCGCCCAGGCAAGTTGATACTAGGGGTCACTTCCCATGTACGGAGAAAACAATCTTCATGGATAATAATGATAAAACCTTATGGAATGCAGCAACAACCAAAAAATGTATTCTCAGATGACTACATTAGGGCCAAGTCAATATTAGTCCCACTTCACCCACGCACTGCATAGTCTAAAAATGCTGTCAGCCCGATAAGAATTTCCTGATTCACTTAAAAAAAAAAAAAAAAAAAAAGAAAAAATACAATATCTGATCACCAAATTCAGCTGGTGGAAACTCAAGGCAGACGATCCTTCAGGGGATGAGCGGCGGTGCGGTGCGCTCCGCGGGGAGCAGCGCGGGTTCCGCCGGTGTGCGCGCCCGCGGACCGCGCCGGGCCGGGCCGGGCCGGGCTAAAGCGCCGCTCCGCGCCCGCAAACGCGAAGAGAAGGGAGACCCAGCAAGGAAGGCGGACAGAAGTAGAGAGGAGTAAGGAAATAACTTTTCCCTCCTGACCCACGCCAGCTGAGCGAGCCAACATCCACCCGCCAGAAGCAAGAATTTGGAGGGGGAAATGCCTTTCTCTGGTTAGGAAAGCTCTTACCAGGCTCCGCTGCTCCGGGGCACCCTCAGCAGCTCCCCGCATCTCCAAATCAGGCCGGGGGCTGCGGAGCGCATCGCGGGCTGGCCGGAGCGGAGGTCTCCGCCCAGGGCAGCCAACGATGCGCCATGCACCCGCTGAGGGACGGCCTCCCCAAAAAACCCCGCACCTCCCAGCCCTGCCCTCCCCGCGGCTCACCTGCGCGGGCGCGGCCAGATAGCGGGGCGCCCCGCACGCCGCCGCGCCGGGCTGCTGCATGGCCACGTCCGAGCAGCTCATGGCCGCGGCCGCCCCGCGCCACCGCCGTCCCCCCCTTCCTCTTCTTCCTCCTTCTTCTGCTGCTGCCGCTGCTCCCGCTCCCCGGCGCGGGGCGGCCGCGGTCGGGCGCCGCGCAGCCCCGGCTGCCAGCGCATCTTCGGCGGCCGCCGCGCCCCGCGCCCGCACTTATAGCGCGGCGGGGCTGCGCGGGGCGCCCCGGCGGCCGCGGCGGCGGCGGCGGCAGCGCCGCGGGGCGGGGACGGCTCCGCGCTCCGCCCGCCCGGCCCGCGGGCGCGCAGCACCTGCCCGGCCCCGCCCGCCGCCGGCCCCGGCCCGGGGTGCCCTCGCTGCCGGCTGCGAGAGGGGGGCGCTCCGGTGAGCTCCGCTGGAGCTGCTGGAGTAGGTGCCACCTGTATGGGCCGCGCTTCAGCTCCCCAGGATCCATCATGGAAATCCGTCTGGGAGGAAGGAGGAACCTCCGTATTCCACAGGAGCATGTTGGATGCAGGCTGAACTAGCCCGGAGTCTCTCTTCCCTCCCCACATTTGTATGTTTAAAAAAAAAAATTTTTTTTTAAAGTGTACTTCTCAGCTTGAAAAATAGATGGAAAACTCGGATCTGGTCGTAATGACTTCAGTTGTATTCAGATATTTTCCTGGCCTACCTCTGTGCGCACATTTCTGCCAGCGAGCTGCCCTGCTGCAGTGCTGTGCTTGGAGGCTTTCGATGCCATTCCTCACATGGAAAAGACTATGCCTTGTTAGCATTATCCCAGCCTATGAGTCTGGGAGGGATTTACACTTATTTGCTCTTGTATTCTTCTCATCAGGTCTAAAGTGAATTATCTGATTTTTCTTTTTCACAAAATTTGTTTTCAAGTTTACCTATATTTAATAGTGGCCAGAAATTGAAGCTTTTGATCAAAAATTCTGCATTTATACTCTCTTCCTCTCTTTGCATATACAAATACACAAACACAGATACACTCCTTTGGCCAGAACAGTTAGATGAATACACAAGTTTAAAATAGCTCTGTCTGACCCCAGTAGCATTCCCTGTTTGTAGAAAGCGTATCTTCAAAACATTCAAACTGCAATACTGTGAGCAATGATCCAATTTCCTGCATACATGTTTAGTTCTTTTTTTTTTTTTTTTCATGTTTTGTGCATACAGATTTTAAGGTAGCTGGATGCTTTTTAACCAGCACTCTGATAGCCTGTTCTTGCTGCATTTTGTAGATCCATGTGAATGGACTCCAGCTGAAGCTCTCACCTTTCCAGCCACTGCAAAGTTTCTGCAAGGGTAAAATGCACTTGCAGATACCAAATGCAAGGGCTCCTGACAGGTTTATTTGTCAAAACAGAAAATCCAGGTGCTGATTGCTATCTGCAAATCTCTGTTTGATCCCTGTGAATTCGAGAGATGTGTTTCCCCTCCTTTCCCAAGGCAGGACACCATCCCGCTCGCAGGACCGCAGGCCGGCAGTACCGAGCACTGCCCTGTGCCGCTCGCTGCCCTGGCCACCAGGCTGCTCCCACCCATGACCCGCAGGGCTTCACTGCAAGCACAAGGCCAGGCTCCTCCAGGCATTCCTCTGGCACGACTGGCTGCTGTCCACCCTGCAGATCCTCCCCGGGAAGCATGGAGGATTGTGAAACACGTTTCCTGCTTTAGGGAGGGTGTGCTCAACACCGAGCTGTCTGAGGTAAAACGCTCTCACATGCAGTGAGAGCAAGGCCTGCTGTTAGTTTATCAACAACGACACCCGAAAAACCCTGAACAAAACCCTTTTATGCTTAATAACACTGAGAAAACAAGCCTGTAAAATCACAAATAGAAACAAATTCTTTTGATACCAATTGATCATTTTTAGGAGAAAATCCAATATTGGTCCTTAAAGCAGAATGGACTAAAATAGAAAACGATTTATCGTTTATTATGTTAATGTGACACATTGAAGTGGGAGTACATTAGTGATCATTTTTCACCCAAGTACATGAGGCATTTGGAAGAGATTTATAAATGCACTAACACAGAGATCACTGTTTCCACAGAATGCTGAAATGCTCCAATATTCAGTTAGCACACATGTCTTATTATCAGATCCTGACAGGATTCCTATCAGATGCCTCGGGGCACGGTACAGTGGCATGATGCATCCTGTCAAAAAGCAGATCAGGACCATTATCAGGCAGATGTTTGATACCATGCATCATGTTACTCAGCCAGTGGCACACTGCCATTGCTCAAGAGGATTTTGACATGACACAGTGTGCCAGTGCTGTAGCACAAAACCAGCACGTTCCAAAAATAGGGACAAATTCACCTCTGGCATAAGCAGAAGGAACTGCAGTGACTTCATTAGATTTGCATCTGCTTATGTCAACAGTGAGTTTGGCTCACAAATTTATATAAAAGAGTGGTAGGTGGCTGCATTTTCAGGTATTTGTTATATTGCTTTCTACTCCCAGCATTCAAGCATCGTGAGACAGCTGGGGGGAAAGCGCCACCTTTCTCCGCTCCTTCCCCTCCACCCCACAAGAAGCAGCATCAGATTTCCATTTTTAACAGTGTAACAATACCTCAGAGTACATAGAGGGCCACTCTTTTCAGAAACTTGGGAGGTTGTGAGTTTGGGAATTTCACAAGCAACAGGAATTTACAAAAAGGGAGGAGAGAGGATCCCTGCTTTCTGCCTCCATAATATTTCTCCACAGTAGCTGCAAGTGCTAGGTGCACAACAGCAGCAAAATAAATTTTGAGTGCCAATTAGAGTAACAGTAAAAGAATGACATGAAAAAGCAACCAGGATGAAATGCGACATCTGATAAGATTTGGAAACTTCTTAAAAGGCATTGTAATTTATTGTTGTTCCCTTTCATCACTCTGGAATGAAAAGCACAGCTTGCTAATGCAGATGCCTAACACTGACAAAAGAAGAGGAGGGGAACCAGCTAAGGTATGACTGGTGTGAGATCTTCTTTACAGAAGAGAAACATCCCAGCTTTCTGCCTCAGTCTATTTCTTTAGTGAGGAAAAGGACTGATTGGTTCTATTTTAAATAAAGTTCATTCATGTTTGCTGTGTGTTCTGGCTTCTTATATCCATCAGGGAACAACTGATTCTTGGACCAGCTGAACTTCAGTGATGCTAAGAGTAACCAGAAGGAATAAAGGCCAGAAAAACCTCAGAAAGCACTCAGTAAATGCCACCACCAAACACAACTTGGTACAGCAGCTATGTGGGTTGTAGCATCAAGGGAAAATGGCTTGTCTGATACTCTGGAGATCTGAAGGAGAGAGGAGGAGCACAGCAACAAGGCAAAGCAATCTGCACAGGCTCTTCAAGCATTCATTTACTTGTCTGCTCCCAGATGAGTTTTAATGTTGCGCTTAGAGGGGCTCTTGCCCCTTCCACAGATCAGAAAAGTTATCTAGGTCTAAATCAATTCTGGAAACAGTTGCAAGCATCTCAAACCTTTTGAACAATATCAGCAAGTAAGGGCCTTTCCCTCTCTTCTCACCACTATACAGTTATTCCCAAATATTTATTTGAGGAGACAGCTCTGTACAGTGAGCAGTCCCCCAGAGGTTACAGCCACCAAAACAACCCCTCCACTGCTGTATCCTATCCCCCTTCCTCCTTGTTTCACCCTCTGATGGCATTCTGTAAGTATTTAAATCATTGGAAACCACACCCCATCTGTGGTTGGTGTTTGCAGGCAAATCCCCTTGGCTTTGCTGTTATGGCCTGCCCAACAGCCAAAAATATAACGTGCTAATTTTTCCTCAAGGAGACCAAATTGGAAGATACACACTGCTTGCCAAGGAAATTCACACTAGGCATTACTTATGCCTTATGTATAAAGGAATAAGTAGGTTAAAAACAAAGTTTGTTCACAGCTAGTTGAGGATTCTCTGATGAGATGAACAATGATTTTTCTTTTTTCAAGAAGTCAACTTTGATGAAACAGCTTATTTTTTTGTGGAGGACAATCAATCTAGAAAAAAAAAAAAAAAAAAAAACAGTCTGTAAAACAAGTTAAATTGCTGGTGAAATCTGCCATCACACAAATTTCTAAAGGTTTCACACCAAACTGCATTGTACTGGGTAGCCCAGCTGTGAAGTCTGTCATAACCTCAGGACTCAGGGGGTGCTAGGCAGGTTCCTGTGAAACTGCAGTGCCATCACCGTTGAGATCTACGCTTACAGCAGATCCACTGCAAGCCCCAGAAGAGCAGGAGGCAACAGAGAGCTCAGAAGCTCCTGGGTTGATCTCTGCCTTTCCTCATTGCCCAGGGCAGAAGCACGAGTTGTAGGCACTTGCTTTCATTTCTGAAGGAAAGGAAGGGAAAGAGCCTGCTTCAAACACTTGAGGAGGGAGAGAAGGATGAGAGTTACCTCCATGCTGCAGGACAAACCTTCTCTCTGTACATCCTTATATTGCTCCAGTTTGAAACTATACAGAAATGGAAGGATTGAGTGTTTAAATTCCATTCATGCAAAGCCATTTTAATTCATGCAGCACCTTGTGAATACAGGAAACATTTTCCTTACACCTGTAGCCATACACCCTCACCACCAAGGTTTTGACCCCACTGGAATAGGAGGCAGCAGCTTGTGTGTGGCAAACACATTACCCTGAGATTTTAGGATTTCTTGATTCAAAAAGCAGCAAACCACTGGCCAAACTTATGAACTTGAGATGCACTGTGATCTCTCCACAGAATGTGAGGCTCTGGACACCTCTCTGGTCATGTCCTTCATATTTTGTAATAAAACCAAAGCTGCAGTGCCAATTACAGCAAAATATCTTTCTTCAAACCACTAACAGCTTTCACATTTCATGCCTGTAATCTTCAGCAAATAGATCAAGGACTGTTATTCATTTTAATGCCTGAATGTATTATATTTATTCTTGTTATTATATGTTCTGTTACCACAGAAAATGTTTGGCTCCCAAAGAAAAAGAGGGAATTGTGTCAATAGTCCAAATTCTTCCTTAAAATGCAAACATTTTAAA